CACGCATCCTTGTTATCAATATAGTCTCGAACCTTGTAGTACCCTTTGGGCATAAGGTTATTTGGAGGGCTTTGAAATTTCCTTACTGTCTTTTTCCTACTCCACTTACTGGCTACACACGAGCACTACTACACAGAAGTTTTGTGTTGCGAATAACTCAGTATAAGTAGTGATAGTGTAAAAGAGCACACGTCTAAGGAAATACCACTAGTGGCAAGAGGAACTCGCGCCGTGAGCAAAATTTAATTATATTCCGTTTCTTGGAATCTCACATGAAATTAATGCTAAGATTTACGTCAGTTAAACATTTAATTACGCTCCAGAAATGAAAGATTAAGGCACTGTGACAAGATTTGTAAATGAAATGTGGTTTTGAACTTTGCCAAAACTTTACTAATTAATGTGAACGTGTACAGGGGCGTAAGATATGTGGTTACCCGTGTAAAATATAGGTATATGTATGCTTAACTTAGGTATGAGGGGATTGAGAAACTTCAAACATTGTTACGTTTCTTGATTAGGGTATGATACCCTTATTTTTAGATAGATGAACCTACGTTACGTGTTACTTGGAAAAGGAAGCCCCTTCTATCGTGTGGGTTGTAAGAATTAAGTTCGCAATCCTAGACTTAGTCGCCGCAGGTATTTAACGGCTTAACGGCGCCTACGCACCCGGGATACCTTTTCGGAACATTCAGGCTCATTCAAACTTGCGACGTCTTAGCTAAAACAAAGTAAAAAATAGTTACCTTACAAGAAGAATCAATAGTTCCTTCAAGTCTACTTTTTGGTATAGTCAGCGTGAAATAGTTCATGACATCAAAATAGCTAAAAAGTCTGTGTTACAATTGGAATAAGGTTGTGTTGACAACTTTTTGGCCATTTTGGGTGTCATGAACTATTTGACCGTGACTGTATAAGACTCTCCCATAATATAATGCCACAGAGCTATGTCTCTCGGCCAATTTTTTCATGCATTCCTTGCTACGTCATGGGTACATCTGCAGTGAGGCCAACCTGGTCAGCCAGAGGTCACACCAAAAGCTTTCTACTGATGCGGAATCACACAAATAATACAATTAATGTCTCCTGTGGCCAAAATGATTCGTATCTCACTTAGGTACGTCTAACTATAAGACCTTTACACTCAATTAATGTGTTATCAAACTTTACCTAAAGTACTAAAACAACTCACTCGAAAAATACAGAAAACACTGACATCCTGTTGTTCCCGTTTTTCAACGAAACATACAGTTGAAATTAAATTTGCTTGTACACAGTGTTTATTATACTTTCAGCAACTTTATTTTAAACTATCCGTGTTGTGCGACATTAAACAGTGTTTACAGAACAACTATTATCCAACAAAAAAGCTGGTTGTGTTGGACAAATGTTTTGTTCAAACGACGAATCAAGCTAAGCATTATGGTACTTTATCTACTTGTAATAGGAGTTATATTACAACAAAAATGTCCACTCTACAGCTAACATGAATTGAATGGATCTGAAATAGATGCTACTTGTTTGATACTGTCCAAACTTTTTGCTTTGAAACTGCCGAGTGATTTGGGAAAACGTCCGATCGTGGTAATCATTTGTTTGTAGAGTTTACAAATCGGAACGAGTTGCGTTGGTGAAACATTTTTTGTAGTGTCCGACCGAATATGGATTTTCAGCCGAAAACGGAAACGAAAACGAAGCTTCGGCTGCAGTCTCATTTTCGGCCGAAAACGAAAACGAAAACGAAAATGACCTTCAACTCTTAAATTTCAATCTGAAATTATGTAAACACTTCGAAAACCAAAAACATAATGACGTTTGACAGTTGTTTTTGATAAGGATTGATTAAAGAAAACCGGCATTAAAACACAAAAAATTGAATTATGAATTCTTAGTAGAATATTATTTCCGGTGTATATTGAAATATTGGGAAGTTAAGAAGAAAAAAAGGGTGTCCAGTGGGAATTTTTCAACTTCAAAAGTGATTCATACAAATAAATTAATGATTTTTTATTATTTATTACTATTAATGCAAACTGGAGTTTAACAATGCGGATTTATTTTTTTATAGGCAATGTCTTTTAAATGATGCCCGTTTTACTATAAGCACTCTCACAGCCGGACCCTTACATTCGCAACTATGCGAAAGCAAATCGCGCTAATAATTTTCCTGCAACTTCACGGCGGATATTTTCTTACAGAACCTGAATTATTTAAGGATTGTTTGCTGTAAACTTTTGACTTGAGATATCCCCACAAGAAAAAGTCGCATGGTGTGAGATCTGGTGACCGAGGCGGCTAGAAAAAAATAGTCCTCAGTGTCTCCATCGAGGTACTCTCCGTGTGTGGTGAGACACCTTCTTGCTGAAATAGTAGTTGGCCGGGATGCAGTTGTAGTTGTGGTATCAGACATTCATCGATCATTCACAATACATTTCAAATACTTATTGCTCAACTGCGAACGCTCTGTAGGCTCCCGACCAGTGTAGACTCATGGCGTATTTCAAATCCGCATTAGACTCGTATTTTGAAACAATTAAACTTAATGAAAACTCTTTGGTTTTATTTGTATTCAATTTTGAACTTGGAAAATTTTCACTGGATTACAACGTAACCTCACTTCAAAACTTCAAAAGAGTGTGACAATACCTCGTCCGTTCAAGTCTGATTGGAACCATGAGTGCATCAGATTCACTCCCGAAGATATCGGAACGATAAACGTCCCTATCTTATTCACGTATTTCTGATATTCGGTTTGGCCGAAGCTTCGGCTGGTTTTTGGCCGAAAACGAAAATATGGCCGAATGTCCATTTTTTGGCCGAAAATGGCCGAAAACGAAAACGAAAACGAAAACGAATATTCGGTCGGTCACTAATTTTTTGTTAATTTATAGACGTTTGAAGTCAAACATTTTGCTTCTTCAAATTCTTTTTCTATGTGTAGGTCTTTTTTGTCTGGATTCACCTATTGGGAAGACACTGGCTCCTGAAATACAGTTTACACTAGTTTAGGAGCCAGGGTTTCAATATAAAATGTTACAGTGTATTACATCAATAAAAATAATCTTATTTTTATTATTCTTATTTTTACACTGAAAAATGTGTTTAAAGTAGCTAAACATTTTTTTCAGTGTAGAGCGTCGTTTCAGGGTAAATTGGTAAGTAGGTACATTTACAATAAAAATTAAGACCCAAAACTTAGAACAATTTCATGTCTAAGTTGTCTTTTTCACTATAAAACCAGAATACTCTTGTCTCCAAAGAAACCGAACAAACGACTCTATCTGCAGTACACAGTGGGGCAATCCCTTAAAAATCCCGGCAATGAGTTCCGGAACGACCCCGGTTATTGCACTGTGGGTGCAAATGCAGCGGAAAGCAGCCAAGTCGCATTAGACCTATCGTTGTGGTCGCACTTATGGCAAATGAGCTGTGCAGCTTAGGAGGAATTTGTCATGAAGGACTATAGTTCTGTGAATGGAAGAAAATTAGTATCATGTCGCAAAGGATTCCAAATCATTGTGTGGATATTTTTATAGGTAACGATCGTAACATCCACGAAGACGCGCTCCACCACTTTTTGGTCGAGGGAAGCGCGCGGTGTAGGGAGTTTGATCCGAGCAATCAGAGTGAGTAGTGTGCGTGTACAACAATAATCACGCATCCATGAGTGCACATGTACTTACAGTGTCCGATCAGTGTGTGATCAAACTCCCCGCACCCCGCGCTTTTCTCGACCAAAAATTGGAGGGGCGCGTTTTCGTGGCTGGAACGATCTTTAGCTACAGCGTCTCTGTAATAAAGCGCATAAAGCGCACATCACCATCATCTTTATCAAGTCATTTAGTCTCCACAACATGAGGTAGATGGTCTCTAATTTACTAAAGGCAAATGGAGGATTTATATCGCTGGCCAGGCGAATTAGAGTCCAAAGAAATTGAACTGAAATTAAAACAAAAGGCAAGTTTCAAGGTTTTAACTGAAAGATTTTTTTAAATGAAACATGTTTAGTTTTGTACCAAAAACTGTATTTTGATAAAATTATCTTTTATTATGGCACACACTTATTGAACATAAGATAATAAATAAAAAGAAACTTGTAATCTTACCAATAACTAAAATACTTTTCATCTTAATAAGTAGAACGACTGAACATAAAGATATAGACTGTGACCTCTTATGTAATGGTAATAGCTACTATTTTCCATTGAAAATTTAGTTTATTCGGATGTGTTGATTTCTGATAGTAAAAATGTTATAGACATACTATTTAATATACATTTTGTCACAGACTTATTCTTAAAACTATAAAGTTAGTAAGCAAAAAGAGTAGTTCGAAGGCAGTAAAAATATATCTAAATCAATGGTATTTACGTACTTTCAATATCTTATTTGGAATTCGAGACATTTTTTACAAAATACTTCTACCTTATTACAAAAACAAAGAATTTACTATTTAAACATTTGATAAAGAAGCTTAGGTATTTAAATATGAGTGTTATGTATTATGAGGTAGGTAAACTATAAAGACTTGTAAAATACTTTACCTATACCTAAATATTTTTAAAACTACATAAATGATATATTGGTGGTGGTTAGGTTATTAACCAGCGTTGCCAGTTTTTTTTTTCGCCAAGTCGGGACTTTGGAACTTTTTGAGTGAAAATAGCGGGATTCTTACGTCAAAAGCGGGACATAGTAAAAAAACGTATACAATCAAAGGTTTTCAAATATTTATCTTTTTATTTGACTTAAAATTACGTTTACGTGACAATATATAGCAAAAGTAGCCATAGACAATGTATTTTAACAAAAAAATAATATTTTAAATCAGATTTACTCTATCGTTAAATTCTTAGAATACTTTAGAATTAAAAAAAGAAAAAAAAAAACAGAATCGAAATAAAAAAAAATATTCTTTAGAATAATGTGGCGTTTCAAACGTCTGGTGAAGTGAGTGTCTCTCTCCGAAAAGCGGGACCGAGCCTGTCCCGCGCGGGACATATAAATTTTATTTAAAAATTGGGACGTCCCGCCAAAATCGGGACGTCTGGCAACGCTGTTTATAACCCTCTGAAATTAACTTTAAGTTCGTTAACCATTAACCAACAAGGGTTAATAAGTTAACAGGTTTAAAATATTTAGAGCTCTTTTCATCAGTTCTTGATGAAGTTCCAGATGATAAAAAGTCACTGATTCAACAAAATTGCCACCAATATAAAAGTAACTAAACAAACTTAAGTATAAGTTTTAATAATAAATTAAGCGTTTTACACAGTCATGTATTTGCATCTATCCTATAGTTAGGAAAATATTATATTGCTACCAATAACTTTATAAAAATGACTTAATAAACTGATAACATTTAACTTATCAAACGACTAAAAACTTTTGTAGTGTTAAGCTTAGTATAAAACACAATCAAATTCATTCATTCTTCTCGGTTACCAAACTCAACCAACAAAATTATTTTGGTAAGTTATTTATTACATTTCACTGTCAAATATTTTAAATCTTCGATTTCCAAATAACTGACCATTATTTTAATCATTCAAAGGACCTAGTGCAAGTTTACATCAAACGCGCTCACTAGTGAGCGCGTCAAAAAATGACATTTAATGTATGACGGATTGTACAGCGCCTCTAGCGGGAAACGTTCAAAAACTAAAATTTTCATACATTTTTTAAACGCGCTCACTAGGGAGCGTATTTGATGTAAACTGACACTAAGCCCACTGTTCTGTAGACATTTAACAAGCAAGTCAACCTCCCACGAAATGATCATCTCAATTAATCTTAAACCTTATGCTACAGACATAAAGTCCAGATAACACTAATAGGCTTACATTACTCACACAGTTATAATAATATATACAAACATTACATAGTTAATACCTATGAGGCTGGTATATGATTTTGATTATATGTCGGTGCTATACTGGACCGATAGTTTCGCCTTCGAGGTGGGTAACTGAAAATTATAAATGGTCTTATAAGTTTTATACATAATAGTTACGAGCAATTAGTGTAAAAAAACATTGTAATTAGAATCTCTCTGAATTCATAAAAAAGAACACTTAAAAAGTGATAATGTAGTAACTTTTTTTACAAGAAGCAGCTGCCAAGTTGTACGTGTATAATAGTAGTATCCATACCAGTATTATCATAATAATTATTGAATTTTTATACAACTTATATTTTTATATTATAACTTACTCAGTTCGTCGTCTTCTTAGAACAGCATTTGAGTGTGTTGATTTTACTTCAACACACAATACTATCAGCTTTCGTTGACAAGATACTCTGTCACCAAAAATAAACCAATGATGTAGATATTTTATATCAAGAGAAGAACGTTAATTACTTTCCTAATTGCTTATGTTACTCTTTGCTTTAATATGGGAAATGCATGAAGCCATAATAAAAAGAAAAAAAGTTACTTCTTTTACCATTATCTATATGCCAGTCAAGCAAGCCAAGCATTATTGTCATTTAAAACCGACAACTCTATCATTTTCACCCACAAGGTTGACCGATGACATTTTAAAGGTAGCAGGAAGGCGCTGAACGCATGCCGCTACCAACAGGGCAACATGTAAAGCATTGAGGGACGCATAATGTTCAGCAGTGCACATCCTATGGCTGAGATGATGATAATTATGAGGTATTTTAAATAACTAAACATTTTTGTAAAAAAAAAAATTACCTTTCTTGTCCTAAAAGCATGTGTCGTTCTAGTGGCGATGCATATGCAAAGTCGTAGGGATTGTCGCTTCTCCACTTATCGCATGAGCTGACATGGTCGATGCTGCCTGTGGCATTGGCGCCATGCCACATTAGTTTTTCAAGCCTGTAAGAAAAAGGTTAATATAAAGCATGGGTGAAATAATAAATATTAAATCCTTATGAGTATAGGTACAGGTGGTGATGGTGATACGGGACTATGAGTATTCCCAATTTCCCACCTCTTGTTCCATCTGCAACATTTGTGTATCCAGGATCTACAGCTTGACCGTCAATAAATAAACCCTACCAATGAAGGTCAATTTTGTCAAGGTAAGAAGTCCGATCCGGATCCGCAACGAAATTAATCAGAAGAACAAGAGGAGTTCGAAATTAAAGTTCCAATCCTCTTGTTCTTCCCTCCAGTGCAAAGGGAATGACAGGTGACAAAGAATGCTTAAGTAACCTAAGAAAAGATACATTTACACACCTTTAGGCGGTGGTGACGCTGATCATCAAAATAGTCGTTGTAAAAGGACTTTATCGAACAAGAACCAATAAGATTATTATAGTACGGTCTAAGTTATGGATAGGTGGACCGACGATCTGGTGAAGGCCGCGGGAGGTGCCTGGATGCGGGAGGCGCTGGACTGGTCGTTGTTGAATTCCTTGGAAGCTTTTGTCCAACAGTGACGTCAGTTGGCTGAAACGAAACGAAACTGTCTTAGGACTTACCAGGTATAGTTGTCATTCATGACGTTCTTCCCATCGAAACTGAAGATATGCGCGTTGGAAGAAGCAAATCTTGCTCCAGATCCGTCAAAAATGCTCTCCCAGGAATGGAAGAGCTTCTCTCCTCGTAGATTCAGCACGGGAAGGTGTCTGTGCGCAGGGTCCACTATGTACGGCAGCGCTTGAATGCTAAAAAAGAGAAAAATACTGCATTAAGCGAAGATACCAGTGACGTCACTCATTGCAAGAATTAAGTAAGTATGCGATTGATTAAAATGCTTTCCCTTAAGATCTAAATGCAAATTTGAGTTTTTATTGCAAAAAAATCCTATACTTTATTAGATTCTAGGGCAGTGCATAGCTAAGTTTTACAGTAGGTACACAATTTTAAAATTATACCATTTGTAATAACAAATGGTATAATTTTTTGTTCTAGGAAATAAGGTATCGAAAGAAAGGGCTGGTTTTTTATCAGGGTTTTTATTTTACGATGCGGATCTCTAACAAACATTGAAAAAGATATTTTATTTTTAATTTGACTAGACAAGACATTGATAGAATTATGTTATTATACGATATGAAACATTTACGAATGCGAGCAATAAATTCCGTTTAAAAACCAACAGATGTTGCGTACTTATTGCGCATTCGCTAAATGTGGCAAGATATTTTTCATACTAGTTGTGACTAAAATGAATCGTTTCTGATATTTCATTCTAAAATTCATGTCTTGTTTTGCTTTGTTGAACTGTACACTATGATATTATAACCCTTTATTTTTTAGTAAAATACTGAAGCAATAATGTTTTTCTTAAAAAAACAGGTAGGTATGTAAATGTATAAATTAACAGATAACAATAATGTTTTTTCTTAAAAAAAACAGGTAGGTATGTGAATGTATAAATTAACAGATAAAATATCGTCTAAACATCAAAGCTAAAGAGATAACTATAACAGTATGAATATAATTTATTATCCCAGAAATGTACCTATCTATTATGGCACTTTGAAATAAAATACGACACACTAAGATATAGGAATAGTCATCGATATCTTAAATGAGACCGCCATTTACACTATCTAGGCATTATCAAAGCCATATCCATTTACATCTGTTAAATTACGAACTGGAACATCTAGATTTTGGAACCTTACTTCGAATGTTACGTTCCTAAAATGAAAAACAAATCAACTTACTCAGAAGCCAGGAACGCTTTGAAGGTGCCACCTACAATGGCCTTCACTGACTGCCGGTGACACCTATTATTGGCTGCATTCCATCCAGATGTCTTTGATAGCATGTTGCCTGGATATGGCTGGTTGAGAGCTGCGATGCGAATCTGTGAGAAAGGATCATTTGTTGTAATGGGGCCTTAGACTTTTAGGATCAGATATCGGTGATTTTCAAAAATAGTCAAATCGATTCCGATATTAGACTTAATGAAAAAAATCATCATCATAATCATCACTTCAAATACAGGACTGCTGAACAAAGGCCTCCGACAATCCTCCCATTAAGTGAGGACGTGGTAGGTCCCGCCGTGTAGGACTTGGTTGTTTATAGTACCCAAAACGCCGACCACTATGCGGCAGAGGGATCACCCCAGGTTTTAGTGGGTTAGAGCCCCACATAACCTGCCATCCCCCGCCGGTAGTTATGGATACTATCTATTGGATAGGTCATTTTCCTGGGTAAATAAGGCCTCCCCCAATGATTTCCATGATTGGCCGGTTGACAGCGGCGGCCTGCATCCAGTGCCTTTCTGCAACCTTTATGAGGTCAGACGGGTTCACAGGGGTGGAATGCGATGCGCTTACAGCGGCTTCCATTCCAGAACCTCGATGCCCGACCGACCGTTAAAAAGTTTATTAAAAGTATGTTTATTTAAATGTATAATTTCAAGGAATACATAAATGAACAAGCTGTTATTTTGGCAGAACTAGCACAGGGTAAATTTTAAACACCACCTGAGTGAAATCGACGCATGTTAGTTTATTGCATTCATGTATTATTATGATATTTTTTCATTCAATGGGCCATGCTTCTATTTAAAATATGTACAGGCATAATAATAATACATATACAGTGGTAACTAAAAAACATACTTTGTCATGGTAAGGTAAGAGGGTCAAGCAGATTAATTTCGTCTAATCGGGAGTTTTTTATGCTTAACAAGGCAGTTTGCAATCGAATTCATTTCTCTTGTTCATACCCAAGTAACATTTTACTCCATTTAAGAGTTCACATTTAGTTCCAATGTGTACTTAAAGCATTAGTACAGTTCACTCGTGATGTATAAGCTGTATTATTGCAATTAATTACACCTATACCTGTCTAAGGGACTTATAGGAGTGTAGACTAGTGTAGAGTTATACTTTTATACGATTGTTGGTGTTATAATACTCTAACAACTATCCTTTAGTCAGCCGTCTGACTAAGAGCATTATAGGAGGGTAGAGATACGGCAACCGCTGTTTAACGGCCTACTTGTACGATGTTATAGAGCTAGCATTTTAATAGAACATACGTGGTCATTTATAAAGCCAAAGGCTGTTATGTTTACTTGTTTTAGACTGTTATACAGCTAGTAGCTGTAGTAGGACTTGTTTGTGTTAATAAAATAACCTTTTTTTACTATCTGTACAAAAGTGTTTCAATGGTTCGCATGTGCACTGTAGGCTGTTAAAAGGACTATATTAATATGTGTTGTCCATTAACATCAATAGCAGTTTATTTGTCCACAAGTACTACTCTTATTTGCTTTAAGCTGAAAATGAATGTGAATGTGATATTCTATTACACTTTTCCCCAAGCCTGTTTTTAGTTGTATTTATGGTGGTTCTGTACATGATGCAGAGGAAAATATTATGCCTGAACCTGAAAGTTCCCTTCAAAATATACAGATATCAGAGTGTGATGATTGCAGTTCTAGTGATAGTGAATACAATTTTGATTTAGACAATTATTTAACCTTTAGCAAAAAAATAAGAACATGGGCTATTGAAAATCGTATTCCTCATTCCGCTTTGAATAAATTGTCAGGCATAATAAACGAATTTAAACCGGGAACACTACCGTCTGATGCTTTAGGTATTCATACTTGACTATTAGTACCTGGGCTAGGCGATTTAACGGACATTAATAATTTTTATTGCGGATCTCTAAAATTTCAGTATTTGAAAGAATTAAAGATACACAATTGACCTGAACTAGGTACATCTTAAAGCTGTACATAAGTTCACATTAGAATAAATTTATAGACATTAGCGCTGTAGTGGTACAAATGTGGAACTTAATATAGATAACAGCATTCTAACAGAACACATGTGAACCTAATATACGCTCACCGCATTAAATTGGAGTTATAACAGTTCACATAGCCGTATTTCATTTCCACCATTTTGTTCTACATAACCTAAAATATTTACCAAATAAATCTCCAAAATTAATGCAGATTTATCACAAAATTCGCAGATAGAGCGATTGAGTTTTGGTTTCATGTTATAATTAATTACCGTAGTATAATTATAATGCCAATACAATATCAAAAACTGAAAATTGTAGATTTCCTCTCAGCCAGTTTTAAATATTTTAAAATGAATATCGCGTTTTTACAGAGGCGCGTAAATATTTTAGCTGTAAATATGTATACATTTCACGATAAAGTTGCATTCCCAATGGCATTAACATTATTAAGTATTTAAAACCCGTGTTATTATTTGCATAAATGATTATATTATCCGCCCGAGTTGTTTCCTCTTGGCACTCACGTACAAATACCAAACTAATATTAAAATGTGGAAATAATTTAGGACACACGTGAACTTTATGTAGCATTGGAGTACTTTTGTCGGACTTTATAACTTTGAAAGCTGTGCATTTAGCCACTTGTTACTCTTTATTGTCCTCACGTACGTTGTATGGTTCACACTGCGTCCCATATAGTGCCGTAAGTCAGCCTTAAGTACGATGTTACTACTTAAACTGCTATTATAATGCTATTATACTGCTAATGTACAGCCATAGTGAACTTAAAGCTGTCTAATTTGTGCCCAAACTGGTTCTATAAAAGCATTATAGCAAGCTATACAGCTCGTATACAGCTGACATACACAGCTTGTGGAGTACATGTGAACGACTATTGAACTCTTAAATGGAGTAAAATGTTACTTGGGTAATTAATATAGAGCATAAAGTAATGATTTTATATTGTTAGGCAATGACTTAATTGAGGTATTTGATTAATTGAATGATGTATTTATTGTAGCAAACATTAATTTACTCACACTGGTTCGTGGCCTAAGCGTTGTGGTACCAGATGGCTCTAACGTAGAGACCATCTGTAAAATATTGATAATAAATCAATAGGAAATTCATACTTTACAAAAGTTTTTTAAAAACATGCTTGCTAGACTTTTTAGAGAAAGTGGAAAAACTTGATCGACTTTAAAGTACCTTTTTGTCTTAACTCTAAAAAATCGTATCTATAACAAAGATATTAAAAACCAAATTTTTAGATCGATACTTACGTATTTTCCACGGACACTTCTACTCGTATCGTAGCCGTATCTAGGCGAAGATGTGACCTATGAATCAGATTGAGTAAAATAATTATTAAATATCAATAAATAAGTAATGGTTCCGAGGTGAAATGAGGACATTAAAAATTTACTTTGTACAGTGTTCACCCAGGTGATCAAAGTGGAATAAACCTTTTGGTCAAATGGCGGTCAGCTTGACCGCAGCACCGTAGATCCTGGATATCACAGAAGTTGTAGCGGTGGGAATATTATTCTATACTAGGTACGATATGTGTCGAATTAGCGATTATCAAAGCCACGATAGCCGAATGGTGAAGGGGTCGGACTGGCCGACTCGTGATCCGGGGAACGCGGGTTCGGTCCCCGCCGCCGCTCGACTATTTGTGGTGAGCTCACTCGTGATACAAGCATATACATTTTAGCTTTAGTACGAGGGGCTAATGGGGCTATTAGTAATTTGTGTAATAACGAATATATAATAATCTTAAAAAAAAGTTTAACTTACATGGGTTTCTTCAACAGGATAGTATCTTCTTGTTGTTGTTGGTTCCGTAGTTGTTTGTGGTGTGGTGCTTGCGTCAGCCGGATCTATTACGGCGCCCATCTGTGAAACCAACTTTATTGTCATTATTATAAAGACTTTAGTGTGACAGATCGTTTTGGGGTGTGAATTTATCACACTTTTGGAAAAAGATCCCAAAAGATATACGAATTTATGTAAATTTACATAATAATATTGTGATTACGTTAGCTGGTTGAAAAAGTTAGACAATTTGTTTGCAAAATAATTAACAAACTTTTTTAACATAACAATTTATTATTCCAAAGTAATCACAGGATTCATATTAAAATAAGTTGGGATATAAAAAGCTTTTTAAAAGCTTACATATTTACAGGAAATACAGTCATTATAATTTATGAGATGAATATTTATTACATTGCGTAAATAGTAATACTTTTTTAAATAACAATTTTCTATTACGTTTCGCGTCATAAAACATATTGTGCATTCAGACGAATGCATTTTATACTCGTACAGTAAGCGTCAAATAGGTCGTGACACCCAAAGTAGTCAAAAAGTTCGCAACACGTCTTTGTTACAATGAGGGCTATCGTTTTAGCGCTCACCAGTTGGCGCCACTGTAGAGTAAGGTCCTGTCACTTGCTAGTCGCGAAGACAGTGGCGCCAACTTGTGAGTGCTAAAGTGGTAGGAGGACTATCGCATTTGCACTCATCAAGAAGGCGCCACTGTAGAGTAAGGTCCTGTCAATCGCCAGGGGTGCCAACTGTTAAGTATAAAAACGATAGCTCTCATTGGAATAAGGTTGTGTTATCAACTTTTTGGTCACTTTGGGTGTCACGAACTATTTGACGCTGCCTGTACCATATGCATTATACCATACTCACAGAAACGTGTTGCCATCCCCTATCCACTCTTAGCAGCAGTATTTTCTCGTGCAGCACATACGCTAGTGTTCCCTCGCGGATGCTTGAGGTTCTCTGTGTAAGACATTAACACAAATGGTTCCGGTAATTGAAATATCTTCAAAATGTAAGGGTGGCTCCACATTCGTACTGTTAGAAAGAGCAAAGAACAAGCGCGTGAGCAACGCGAGATTATTAAATTCGAGTTAACTAAATACGGGTTCCGAATGTGAAATCAACTTAACGTCTTAGGCTGGATTGCACCATCTTTCTTTAACTTTGACAAACATCAAGTGTCAAACTCCATACAAAAAACATCGGTTATCATTATACTAGTTACGGTCAAAGTTAGGTGGTCGCAACTCAGCCTTATGGTTCCTTTTAAAATATTAATAAAATTCGTTACAATTTTATGTTTATAAGTGAGCCATCTATGCAGATTTACAGCGTAAGAGTCTACGCGAAAATGTTTTTGAAATACATACAGCTAAACTTTGTGAATTCATTCAGAGTAACAAAACGTTCACTAGAGTGACACCAATGCAACTAGGGACATCCTTCATATTATGAGGCAACGCATGTTGCGTTACTTGTTAACGACACAGTCTTTTGTGATGAGCTTTTATGCAACACACTTATTGCAATGAATGCAGAATGCGCCGTGGTGTACCGTTCTTTATAAGTAAAGTGAATTGTAAGAACCTAGTTCGTGGCTCCGTTTCTTTGGATTACGGTGGACACCGTTGGGTTTTAGTGGGTAGGCCCAGCCTTTAGTGAGAGTCCCACATTCATATAATTATAACCCACTGACCGTCCCCATCGAAAAGCATTTCCCGACGTTAAAAAAAATATGGCCTCCAAAAGTTACTATTTAAATGCTATTACCGGTGTATATTCGGGCAATTTTATTGTAATGTTACAGTGGAATGTGGAAGCACCCTTACTGAAATGTTGTTGTTTTGATAATAGTCCTGAGGCGAAGTAAGTTATTAACATTAAGGGAACAGTTTAGTTTTGTTATGGAAAGTCAACAAACGGTCTTGTAATATTATTGACTAATATTGGAATATTTTACAAATAAAGGTAGGTAATAGTAGTTTATTCTAAAAGTTACGTGAACATTTGACACTATTTTATCAGAATTTCAACGAATTGCAGTTTCCTGTTACGGAAGCCTAGTATACCAATACTACCTAGGTATACTATCTAGTTTTTCATCCAGCCGCTGATAGCTACTTTCTTGAAATCATCGGTCCATCGAACATGGCGTCTTACACTTTATTTGTGTGTGGTATTAAATTTTTGGACCTCTTAAAATTTACTCTCATTTTTAAGTGCGTAAATATTAAAGAAATAAAGCTTCAATCAAACCAACGCATGCAGATCGCCATCGCCATAGGGAAATGACAGGTCGCGTGAACTGTCATGGGTCGCGCGACCTGTCATTGGCCTTTGATCGCGCCGGCGATGACTATCTGCACGCGTTGGTGTGGTTGAAGCTTTAGGAAGTACGACCAACCTTAAAGAGAGCAGTTGTTGTTTTGTAGATCACAGTTGCTACGGTCACGGGTTCATCGTCATCATCATTGTTGTTTGGATTCGCTATAAAAAATTAAGTTGGTGAAAGGTGAATTTATTAAGATTCGGCCAAACCTACGCGATCACACGCGATCAGCCGGCGTGCAGCGATGGCGATCAGACTTAAATGCATTGATCGCCATCGCTGCACGCCGGCTGATCGCGTGTTATCGCGTTGGTTTGGCTGTACCCTTAGGGAGAATTAAGGAAAAAATCTTATATTTCAATATAGAGAATTGCTAATAAAAAATTAAATGTTTGAGCCGATGAAATAACATAATTATGTTAAACATTTTTATTAATAGTCAAAGATACCTTGAACAACATTCAATTTAAATAATATAATAATGTTAATTATTATTAAATGGTCTTACCAGCAACACTATCAGTGAATTTAAAATACGTCTGCTGTGATACAATGCCTCCAGGCTCGCCTTTAGGTCCAGTTATTGACAAACCCGGTGGGCCTGGTGGCCCTGGAGGTCCAGGGGGTCCCGGAGGGCCAATGACTGGTTTTTGAGCTGCTGCACAAGTTGAGTTGGCCCCAGGGGGTCCAGGTTTACCCGCTTCACCAGGTGGTCCGATTTCACCCCTGTCTCCTTTATCACCTTTCAACTGAAAGTTAAGTAAAATTAATAATTAATCCTTTAAATGCAGATCGATTTCAGTGGCAAAATCTATTCTTATAAAAGAAAGAAAGCCAACTTTGACTATATGAATGAATAATCTTAATTATAGGGTTCTACTGAAAATCAGTAAAAAAGTACCTACCTTTTTCAGATCAATAAACGGTGCACTTTCACCTTTCTCTCCCTTCTCGCCATGCGTTCCATTGATCCCAGGTGGTCCTATGGGGCCCTAAAATATTTAAATACTACAAAATATTAAGGTTTTAGATGCCTTATGTTCTATAAAGTTGATGAGTTTTCCTAATTTTACTATATTTTTTCATCTTTCATGGAAGATTGAAAAAAAACAAAAATGGACTATTAGAGCATTGCTTACCACAGGTCCTGTTTGACCCGTATATCCCCTGTCTCCTCTAAGTCCTTTTGATCCTTTGATACCTTTATCTCCCTTTTCTCCAGTTTTTCCTTGAGGCCCAGGGCTACCCTGGGGACCTGGACTACCTTCTGCACCCTAAAAACATATGATAAAAAACAATAAATAATGTTACATTTCACCGGATGAGATGACAATCATATTTGTAGTAGTCATAGAATACCTTTAAAACAGTAACATCTATGTTGACCGGTAGCCCAGGTGGTCCGATATCACCCCGGTCTCCCTTCGAGCCTTTTGGGCCAATATCGCCCTTTTCTCCTCTCTTTCCTGGTTCACCATCAGCCCCATCACTCCCAGGGTCACCGTCCCTGCCATCTCTTCCTGGTAGGCCAATCTCGCCTGCTTTACCCGTATCACCCTGTGCAATGTTAAAGTTAACGTGAAAATATGACATATCTGTGTATATTTGACACGTTATTTGCCACAACCCAGAATTTAAGCAGTGTCTGATTACCTTTGCTCCGTCAACTCCTGGTTCTCCTTTTGGTCCTCTGAGCAGCTTGGCGATTTCTTCTTCTGTAAAGGTTAAAACAAAAAATAAATAACTGACAAATTATTTTAGGTTATTTTAAAACAATAATAGGTTAGTTTGTATATTCAAAAACAAAAGCTTAACATTAATTTTTTTCCACAGATCTGTTCTTGAAAATTGATTAAGTAAAACAAATAAAACCTTACTATGTTCTCATTAGGGCATGAATATCGGAATCTCGGAATCTCGTAATATCGGAATCTCGGAAGACAAGATCCGATATTACAATTCCGATATTGAGCGACCCAATATCGTAATATCGGAATCAGATAAAGGTTTTAATTGAGACTTTAAACAAAGCGTTTAAAAGCGCCATAACCTTCTACAAAGCTCAAAGTACATGATTGGCAAAGACCAATGATTTTCTCATGTCTTTCAACATCACTTTTTCCACTGCAAATAATTATTAACCTATAACATGTTCTAAAACAATTTTAGCACTTGCCGTACTTGGTCTTAGCAATGAAAAACGACATCTCAACTCCCTTCCAAACATTAATAAAATTGGACTATGGCCCGTCAGTTCTGCGTACTATGTGCCCTGCCCATTGCCACTTCAGCTTGGTATTCCGTCGGACTATGTCAGCGACTTTAGTTCGTAAACAGAGCTTCTGATTCGAACTCGTAAAGAAACACCAAGCACAGCCCTCTTCATAGCACGCTGTGCAACTTTGAGAGGCCACGTTTCCGAGCCTTATATTATCACTGGTAACACACATTGTTTGAGGACTTTCGTCTTTAAGCACTGAGGTATTTTGGACGAAAAGATGTTGTGTAGTTTCCCGAACGCGGCCCAGCCGAGTAGGATTTGATGATTTACCGCTTTCTCGAAATTGAATCTACTTAGCTGAATCGTTTATCCGAGGTTGACATGCTTGTCAACAATCTCGAAAATCAGGCTCCCAACCGAAAATAGGTAGGGCGGAACATGGTCATAAGCTTCGTTTTGTCCATGTCCAAGGCCTACCTGTTGGGAGACTCGATTAGGTCTTCGAGCATTGTGCCGAGGTCTTCCAGCGATTCCGCCCTAGTACGCAAAACTGACGGCCGATGGGGCAGCAAGGTTCTGGAGTGGAGGCCACGTACCGGAAAGCGCAGCATAAGGCTGCCATCCACAAGGTAGACCGACGGCCTCATAAAGGTAGCAGGAAAGCGCTGGATGCAGGCCGCCACCAACCAGCCATTGTGGAAATTATTGGGGGAGGCCTATGTTCAGCAGTGGACGTCTTAGGGTTGAAATGATGACGATGATGATGCCCCGTGGTTTGTGTGTTGTACATCGATAATCAAAAAGGAACAAATTACAAGCATATTCAAGTTTTATACCACTGTCTAAAATTTTTGTAACATGTGACTTGAATGACTACAAATCGTTCGCCAGTATTGGTTGAAGGAGTAAAAGTTTGTTTGATACCTGTTTTACAAAAACACTTAAATTCTTTGCTAGTCCATTTCCATAATTGGCCCATTATCAGTTACCAAAATGCAATGGTTACCCATAACATACAAAATGGTTTTAAATACTTCAATATTATAATTTTAAGAAGTGTTATTTTGTACTAAATTAAAGATTTTGATTAAAATCATTATTTTACTGTATACAATCGAGAAATTATACGAATATAACCAAATATTTAAAATTTATAATACAAAACTCGATTCCGATATTAATATCGGAATTCCGATATTGAGATCGAATATCGGAATCCAATATCGGAATTGAAAACCTTCCGATATTACATGCCCTAGTTCTCATATCAATAAATATGAGTTACAAAAAATATGGGTTCCATTTTATATAAGAATGAGGCTTTGATAAGGATCCCCAAACGCGTTTCGTTCAACCGAAAAATGACAGAAGCAGCTGCGGTATCCAGTTATTCGGGCGAGAAAATTTTATAGGACAACCTCAGCTTAGTATCTTTCACCACTCTTTTCACTCATACGCTGACAAAAAGGGACAAATGCACAAAGCCGCCTTAATAAATCGACGAAACAAAACGCACTAGGGGCAGGATAAGGATCAAAGCCAATAAAGCCAATAGCAGCAAAAAATTCTTGGGGATTCAATCCACTTACGTTATTACACACACGTGAGCAGAATACTCTGTTTGGTATTGAAATTTATTCGGTGTATATGTCTTTTCAACTTGGTAAGGTTAAATAAACAGTGGATTGGTTGGAGGCGGGGTAGATTGACTTACTTTCTGTAGGGTCTGTATCTGAATCTAGTAGTGAAGACAGTTTCGCTGGAATACCAGGTTCGCCTGTGTTTCCTTTTGCACCAAAATCTCCTAGAAATAATAACAATCACATCAAATATTTAATAAAAGGGTACTTAAAATACATCTTGGCAAGTATTTTGAAGGATCGTATTTTCAAAATGGTTTTAAAATTAGTTTTTAGTTTTACTCGATATAAACAAAAAAGAATTTGGAAAGGTTGTTGATCAAGTTTTAACCTGTCATGCCCTTTTCACCACGAGGACCTTGGTCGCCTGGCGTCCCTGGTATGCCGTTCAACCCTGGTTCACCACGGCTGCCGGTTTCACCTCTGGGTCCTTGAACACCTGTATTACCCTGAATATAATTATATTAAATATAAAAATATACCTAAACGCCTTTTAAGTAAATACTCAAAAAGTATTTAGAAAAGTGCAACAATCGACATCAAATCATTTGCTATCTGCTCACAAGTCAAGGCAAACTGGAAACTATTCAATTTATCCAGCTTCCAAAATAATTTCCATTAAAAAAGTTACCAGACTACAATAAAAATATGACTGTTTTGTTAATATTAGCATAATTATTATACATAAAAGTTACTCAAACAAGATAAATCGGTCAAATAAACGTAGTTCCAGTTTCTAACTGGATACTGAATAATATTGAGCTTGATTCAACTTACCTGTTCTCCTTTTTGTCCTTTTAACCCCTCGGATCCTTTTTGGCCCTTATCACCAGCGACACCTTGAGGGCCAGGTGATCCTGGGGGTCCTATTGGCCCCTGTTCACCCCTTGGTCCAACGACTGGAATTTCTTTTCTCACTTCTGTGTCCTGTCAAAATAAACTCGGAGACAATTTTTCTCGGAATATTATTTTCTTACATTCTAAAATAGAATTATTCAATAAAAGATATTTTATTTATGAATCTTTCATTCCTGCACAACTTGGTCAAAACAGTAATTTTTAAAATTACTACAGGTAAGCTCATCTGATCTTGATCTCCGATCTTTAGCAATGATAAAGCCAAAAGTGACTGCTAAGCAGCTTAAAATAATGCAGCAGTGTTTAAATTTATTCACCTTAGCGCTAGGTCCAGGTGGACCTGGTGGACCAGGGTTCCCTTGAATGCCTTGTGGTCCAGGCTCTCCGTCTTTTCCTGCTGGTCCTCTAGGCCCTTCTATCCCATCGTGTCCAGGAATGCCGTCATCTCCTCTATCCCCCTTATCCCCTTTTGGACCTCTTGAACCTCTCTCACCTTGCTCCCCTGGTAAACCCTGTTCGGAAAGAGTACGGTGAGGCGAATACGAAAATGAATAAGATTAAAAAGTAAAGATAAATATTATTTACAGTAGGTAATTGACAGGTAGTAATAGTAAACAGACCGTCAGACCCATTGGACCTGGTTTTCCGGATTCTCCAATAGGCCCAGGATCACCAGAGGGGCCTCTCATCTCCGGCATTGTCTTCAGCAGGCTTGAAACTACAGTTTCTGTACATCTGCAATCCTATTAATTTGCAAAGCGAAAAATAACAGTTAATTATAAAATGAAAATAGTTACCATATTATCATAATATTAAACATTTTTGGTTCGTAAAGCTAAAAATTCTTACCCCAGTATCTCCTTTTAATCCAGGCTTTCCAGGGGGACCTATGGGACCTGATGGGCCTGTTACAAATTCTCCTGGTTCACCCTGTGAAAATATCATCACAATAAACACTTAGCTTATAGTTATGGAAATAAAATATTTTTTTAAACATGCTTTAATCTCTCACCTTAATTCCTTTATCTCCCTTTTCCCCCTTCTCACCCTTTTCTGTAAACAGAACAGAATTTGGTAACTAATAATATTTTGGTACAAAAAACATTCATAATAAACTTGATTATAAAAAAAATCTTACCACCAGGTTCACCTTGTGTAAACTGAAAAATTATACAACAAAATATAAATATCTTTATGGAAATTTTTTGGAGTTCTGTTATTATGTTAAGAAATTACTTATTTTGCTTAAAGCTTACTAGTTAGTTTTCTACTTTTGTTACATTAACTACAATGTATTATTGAACTACGCAGTGTACTTTTTAACATTTTATTAGTGTCAAGATTATAATTCAATTATTTGCTTGAAGCTTTCTACTTTTGTTACAATATTGCTACAATTAATGCAGTGCATTATTATTTTTATTATAAGTGCCAAGAATAAAATTTAATTATTTGGTTAATATTGTTTTTAAAGATGTTAAAATGTTTAGTATCCTTTTGATTTACTGTACAACTGTACAAGTCAATAGACGCGTTTTCAGCACTCACACCATTCAAACATTCAAATCCAATTTTTATGTAACTTCTTTTAGTTTTTTTTTGTTCAACATCTACTTATATCTTTTGTTGATAAGAAACTGTATCGCATGAAAATATCCCATATCCAAAACGACAGATTATCCCAATTAATTTTGAACTTTATTTCTCCATCGCTTTTAAGTTCAAAGTGATTGAGTGAATTTCTCACATTGTTATAGCTTGATGTGCTGACGATTGTTTTGAATCATGCGTTCATTTTCATGAAAATAGCCCCGTGACTGAATGAGTGAATGATTTTTATTGTTTTATGTTATGAGACAAAATAAAATCTATAAGTATATAAATATGATTAATAATAAACTAATTAGTTGCAAAATAGAAGTTAACACTTGAGGACTCGCGCCTTAATTTGTAACATCCATACTCGCTACCGGGTGCGCTGGACCCAGTATATAAAGTCCTATGTATTTTTCAAAAACACTTATTAAAAGTGAAAACTACTTTATTACAAGGATAAATGATATAAACAAAGACAATTAGTAAACCAAATAGTAATATTTATTACCTTTTTCTAAAATAACAACTTATTTCAAAAATTGTAGATATTTTGGCAAAATTATGGTTATTTTTGAAAATTTCTGTAATTAATTATTTTGAAAAATACCTTGTATATTTTCGTAAACTACTATGATTTGCTTACTTATACTAATTAACAAATAATGAGAAATTAGTACAGAACATTACAAAAATCATTTTATTTACCGGGTCCAGCGGACTCAAAAACACCTTTTTCGTCTGTAGCACTCACATGCATTGGGCTATCTGACGAGTACGACCGCTATTGGCCGTGCTACACAGTCGTGGAAAGGTACTAAGAGCGACAACATGGCAAACGTAAAAACTTAAAAGTTATTACACAAAAATTGAAGAACTGGGTCCGTTAGACCCATTAGCGAGTCCTTAAGTGTTAAAAAGCAAACTGGAACTTACGTCTTCCTCACCCTCCTCTTCAAACTAGGAAACAAAGTATAATTTGTTAATACATCGAAAGCAAATTAAAGCAGCAAAAGTTTATTATTATTTATATTTTCATCATTTTCATTATTATTATTATAGAAAATAATAGTAAGCTTTTGCTGCTGCTAATATTTAGCGAATGAAGTAATGTAAAATGGTTTAGAAAACATCATTATCTATTATCTAATTACATAAAGAGTCACGTAATTTTTTTCTAAACCATTTAACTTAGGATATAAAATTACATAAATATAACGAATAAAATTAGATTCCATAATATTTTTATGCTTGATTCAAAGCAAAGCACCTTTTGCATGTCATTAATTAATGAAAAAAAGAATTAAGTGATGATAATAATAAGTAGGTACTAGTTTTGTTGAAACTCTGTGCGTAGAAATGAAAAGGTGTTCCTGAAAAAGCAGCGACAGTACAATTTTGCCCCAATTTTTCGCCAAATACTCTGTAATTTGGAGTTAAATATTAATTGTTATTTTTTGACCGTAGCCGAAGTTTTCATGAAACTTATCTCCATATTAGTTGTTATCATTTTTTGTGCGTTTGTCTGTAATTGTTTGAAATAAGAAATAAAGTGACACACAGACAATAACACATGAAGGAATTTAGTGGAAAAACAAGAATTTACATTTTTGTAAGTAATTATTTCCGTACCAAAAGACAAATTATCCAAATTGTCCCCCCAATTTTGATTACCGAGATTTTAAAAGGAGTTTTGTGAGTTTAGAACATTGACAGCCTTCGAAGCATTTTTTAGACATAAAGATATACCAATGAATCATACTAACGCTATCTGGCAATTTGATATCCTGGAAAATAATGGTAATAACATAAATATTTTACTGATAAATAAAAAAAAATGTGAAAAGTTACAGAGAAATACAAATTCTGGTAAAACACAATAAAATAAACTTAAATCTACATTAAAATATTTTATTTTGGGATTGATTAAATAATAAAAACAGAAAAATCATTTAATATCTTTACTTAGATAAATAATTTTGTTCCATTGAACTCGTATTTTGTATAATTACTGCAAATACCTAATAATAATAATGCCTAATATGTATTTCTTATGATTGATTTTTAATTTACTAAGGATTAAGGATTTTTTCCTAATCAAACAAACCATAATTTTATTCCTAATTCTATTTAAATGAACATTTAAGTGGGCTACTTACCTCTGCTTTGCAAATACTCTCGTCGACTACGTTATAGTATATTTTAATTTGTCTCACTGCACCCTGCAAAAACATGAAACATTACATTAAATTATTACCTGGTTTTAAATAAAAAAATTATGGTTATTTTAACAAAAGAAGACGATTAATATTAGACAGAGCTGTAAAAAAAACTTTGTGGTCTATAAAATAAGTATGATACTATCAAAAATATTGAGCACAGCCATTTCTCAAGCTAAAATTTTACTATTTGGTAGACTATAAGGTAGTACGCAAAATAAGTATATACAAACTCTAAAAGGAAGAAAAATAACTAAAATCCTTCTTTCCAGCATCAACTATATAAAAATCCAATCTCATAAACCAGTGTCGATGGCAAGCGAATCTTTTCCAGCTTCAGTTTCATTAAAAATCTCGCTCCATCTCCTCACAAAAGAGTACCTACTGACTCCCGTCATATTTTTAATCTCAAGCGGACAATGAGACGGCGTGGGCGCAAAGAAAAATGATTTTACCGAGTCGCCTCTTGCCATTGTATCGTCTACCACAGCGTAGAAACACAGCTGAGTCAACCATTCAAAGTTTTCAGCTGACCAGTTGAACGGTAGAGATATTTTTCGTCTATGACCCAGTACTCATCCTGGCAACTTGGGGATTATTTCTTTATTGCTTAGAGAAAACGTGCGCTATTTCATTTTGACTTGACTACTCATGTAGTCTCATATAGTAGGTAAGCACCTAGGGGTTATGTAATGTGACACATTTTGCTCTTTATACCCTTTTATTTACTATGAGATACAAGATTTCTTTTGAGACTGTTCATGTTCATGATCTCGATCCTTCATGAACTGTAGTAGAATATAAATGAAAAGAATTACTTAGCTATATTAACTGAATTACTTACAAAACTATATTAGGGTCCATAATGATTAAGTAGTTCATTTAAGTTGCAGACCGTAGTAACCGGTTTGAAATAAAATAGGTAGTATAGGTACAAGACAATATTTGTTAGTCTATGTATTTTTGCTGTGATATTATAAAAAGGCATCAATTCAACATAATACACAATGAAAATAAATAAATAGACACTCAATACATAAACTCTATGTAACAGCGATAAAATCAGAATTTTCAATGAGCATTGAAGCAATTACTTTACAATGGTCTTCTAATTTCCCAGTATTAAATCCGGTTGCGCGGACTTAGATTTTAATCTTCGTAATCCCTTAAGTTGCTGTTCCTAAACTGATTTTCGGCTTTGATATCTGCCAAAGACTACTCGAATATTGATTTAGTACAGCTTAAGCCGGAGCAAGTTGTCATCCTTTACAAAGGTACCAACATTATTTTTAAACGGAAAATGTAAAACAAAACTTACAGCATTATAACTATGGTGATTGTTTATAAACTGATGCCTGTTTTCACCATCAATCCCTAATTTTTAAAGTGACCCCTATGAAAACAAAGTTCCTGTTATGTGTTACCATAGCGGTCACTTAAAAATTAGGGATTGATGGTGAAAACGGACATAAGGCTGAGTTGCACCACCTAACTTTAACAGTAACTATAACGATAACCAGTGTTTTTTGTATGGATTTTGACAGATTATTGACGTTAGTCAAAGTTAAAGTAAGATGGTGCAACCCAGCCTTAATGTTCATAGAGTCTGTACGACCCGCGACGTTAAATCAAAAAATATTAATATTATACACTTTACCCTATATTTAAAATTGAATCTTCGTTCCACTAATCGTAACTGACATAGTGTGTGCCAATCGTTAATACCAACAACTGTAAAATGCTTTCAAACATCTGAAATATTTTCTTTATCGTCTTCTTTTATAACCAGTTTGTGTTCGAGTGAAAATCGCGTCACCGCGGGAATATTGAATTTTATTACTTCTAAAATAAACGCTGTTAAATTTAAAATTAAATACTAGATCCAGCACGAGCAAGACTAGGTTTATGATCTCAAGTCAGATATAACTGTGACATTTCTAGGGTTGTCTAAGATTCGTTTCAGATGAGATTAAATCTTTAATCATCTACAGGATTAAATGTTTGATTTTACGAGGAAGTCCTCAAAGATGGTAATATCATGTTATTATTTTAAGTATTAATTTTGTTTTAGAATTAAAAATAAGCTTCAAATACGTTTTATTTGATCTTTCCTTCAAACCATGTCAAGGTAAGCTAAAAACATTATGCAGGTATACATACACATCATTATTGCTTCAGTACAAAATGGAGTAGGTCCAGTATAAATATTGAAACGTTGAACAAACTAGTCGAGTGTGCTTAATTGGCGATCCGATGGATAAACTAAAATCCTAAGGCTTTTATTGTCGCCTTAGGCCCGATTCGACCAAACTTTTATCCGAGAATAACTCCTGGTATAACTGGCACATTGGCAGTTTCAGTATGAGAAAATTATTTATTTATTTTTCATTTCTTAGGAAAACTTACAGCTAAATGTTACGTTAAGTGATATTTATAATAAAGTAAAGCCAATTACAAGTTTCCACCTATAACAATTAATTAATTTTATCGCGGATAAATATCGAATAATCAGTTATATGCTGAGATTAATATTTAGGTACAGCTGTTGTTTGGTCGAATCCTTCTTAGCTTATCTTCCTCTGAAACACAATATTCTGTTTTAAAACACAAAGTTATTTTATTTGTATTCTGGTTTTATTTCACCTTTATCTTACCAACACTATAAAAATATTCCCGCGGATCCCGAAATATTCTTCACGCCGCGCTATCTATAAAACTTATCCAACTTTCTAAGCGAAGTTATAAGAATGCAAAATTTCTGAACGTTATAACAACTCACGTACTTTTAGTTTAGAAGTTAGATTTCGAAACCTTACAACAAGGTAAGAGTGAGGTAACTGAGCGGTCCTTACGAGTTTAAGCCTTAAGCTGTTTTATTTTCTTGGAAATCTTGTTATATTTTAGCTTGGGGTTTTAATGTTCTTCGAGTTTTCTTGGGACATTTTTATTGCATTTTACTAGAAAGAGTGGGAAAAGGATTAATGCTTGTATGCATCAATGCAACTCCTGCATAACCTGAATCTAGAATATGGCTGCCATTGAAACCCAATCAGCAAAGGTTTAATTAGGGATATAGCCTGTCTTAGAAGGAAGTTAACCAAAGGAAAAATAAGTATAATAGATAGATAGATGACTGAACTGTATGAAATCTTTCTAGTTTATACATGATGAAATGTAAGGGCTCGTTCCCACGGCCAAACTGGACTGTCCTGTGAACATTCAATAATTATGTGTGTTTGAAATTCGAATCACAAATTCGAACGAATCGGTTTTTTGGGGGCACTACAGACAGGATAATTCGTATGACTGTAAATATTAAAACACGTACGAGTATACTACGGGATCCTGCAAAAAACGGATTGTACAGACGACGGTACGTCAACGTAACCACTGTGGGTTCTTGTGCAGTTGAAATGAATCCGTGTGAACAAGATTATTAACATAGCGTACGACATAGCGTGAGCGCAGTGTTACAATTATTCTAAGCTATTTGACAGCCAAGCGTGTTACAAAATTTAATGTAAACCAACTTTATAACAAGTGAAGCTTAAAAATAATTACAGTTGAGGTATTTAACTGCTAACAAGTCGAGTAACACCTACTAATTTGGCAACAAACTTGCGCCCCGTATTTATGGCGTCGCAGCTGCGAGTACGGCGAACTCTAGTTTTGGACTGTTTCGTAGTTTGATTCGGTACCTTAATTTAGTAAAAGGTGAAGAATCCTGTTTTAGACCGTACTTTAGTTAGGAGATACTGGCATTGTATTATCAAAATAGTTCGCATATTTTTTTTTAAAGAATATCAGCAGTTTGTTTGACCGCCTCTGTGGTCTAGTGGTAAGACCACCTGTTTCAGACGCAGAGGTCCCGGGTTCGATTCTCAGTTGGGGCAGATTTTTCTGTTCGGTTTGATTGGTGGTAGGGCTTGTTCTAAGTCCGCCTGGCTAGCTACCACCATCTTACCTAAGTCTGTCGCTGCAACAATGTTAACAGCATTGTTGTGTTCCGGCAGTTAGAGGTAAGATAGCCAGTTCCTCCGTGGTTGAGGATTCCGGGTGAAGCTCGCTTCCACCTTCGGCCTGATCATCACTTACCATCAGGTGAGATACAGGCCAAGAGCTTCCTCGTTGTGGATAAAAAAAGTACTATAACCGAAATCTAGTCCCTCCATCTAAGCTTGTGTTAGGAATGGGTAGGTTACACCATAAAATGTACAATAATCCAGCGCACTAGGTTCGAACTACCGGCCCTCGAATTTGCAGTCCGACATTGACACCATATTAATGTTACTGTCGCATTTCTGTGTATTCTTTAAGTACTTACCATCTCGCGGTATAGTTTTACTAACACATGATTTATATCATCTGTGTTCGTATTCGTGCAAATTATGCCACATGTGCTAACACTCGTAACAAAATAGAATTATGATATTTACGATGACACTTCAGCCGACATTAACTGACTCAAGCCAGACTATTCCGTCGCAGTTTGATTCGGCACGGAATCCTCCACCTCAATTTGAGGGTCAAGGATGGAAGAATCAGTGAGAACACCAGTTTATTTTATACCAAAATTTTAGGCTGAGGTTCACCACTTTACTTTAATCGTAACTATTAGCATAACTGGTGGATTTTGTATGGAATTTGACAGACTTTTGACGACTGTTAAAGTTAAAGTGGTGAAACTCAGCCTTATAAAATCAGTAAATGTTAGTTATCTGGGACATACTATGTTAAACTGCACTTGCTTTGCAAAGTTTGCAAGTTGAGTGTGATTTTTTCTCTAAGCTAATTCGTGACTTCTGTTCGTACTTCTTCTAGAGCTTCAATTTTCAAAGTATTCTAGCTTTAACCGCGACATAAATTATAGCCTATAGGTAGGTACTTATGTTAGTCTGGGTTACAAACAAAGATTCTGTAAAGTTGCAACAAAATCCGTTCAGTAGTTTTCCATACAAACTTTCGCATTTATAACATTAGTAGGAAGGATGTAGATCCTTTGT